TACAGCATAAAGCGAGGGAAACCTGTACCAGAAAATCCTGGTATATAAAAAAAAAAAGTGGTGTGGTCCACGGGGCAGCAGCGTGTACTGCCAGAAAACAGAGCCACAATCTGGGAGGCCCCCAGGACCCCAGGTAAGGCTGCTGGCGCCAGTCCAGGTGCTGGCCCCAGCCTCCCCTAGCCCAGCCAAGGCAATTTGCCGTGCACCAGAGCGTGCGTGCAGGGTCATACCCAGGGACAACTAGCAGCAGCACAAATGTGTCACTGCTATTTGTCCATGAGGAAATGCACATTCCCACTTGTTGGGATGCAGCCATACAGTCTTATTCTGATTTTACTGCTGGCTAAATTAGGTGTAATGTCAATGGAGTTACTTCTGATTTACATCTCTTCAAATACGAATAGAATTTGGTCCATAATATCATTTGTCATTGCCACTGATATGAAACACTGAGCATAATAAAGAGTATGGAAAATAAATAGTTGAGCATGTAAATGTGGATTCTTTAAATTAGGCACATAAAGCCATATTTAGATACATAAGTGGGCAGCCTGTTCTTCAGAGGTTCTGAGTACCTGCAGTTATCATTGGCTTCCCCTAGGGTCTGTGAATGCTCAATACTCTTAATTATAAATCAAGCTATTTGGGTTCTTAAAATGTAGGTACCCAAATCTGAAGATGTTGGCTATGACCTTAAAAATACTATCTTAGCTGGAGAAGGATTTTCATGTATGTTTTTCTTAAAACATTCTGAAGTGGTACAAGAAATCTCTCTCAAACTTTTTCATGTTTCTTTTGGTAGAGGCTTTCACAGTTCTTCACAAAAATAAGTGGATTTGAAATTTATAACACACAGCAGTTTTCCATTAGCCTGATGACCAAATATAATGTGTTTTAAGCACTAATATGAAATAATGGCTTTTTCATTAACTCAATTTTTTTAAGTTTAGTTTTCTGTAACTATCATCTGTACATAGTCTAGGAATCTATTTTGCTTCTCTGTGGCAATGAATCTCTAGAAATGTCATGTTTGCTTTAAGGCCTGCAGAACTCTGCAGTCATGGTGCAACAAGTGATTAAATGCTTATGCTGTGGTGGTATTAGTATTCTTAAAAAAAAACAACCAACAAAACTTTGCCACACATAAGCGTCTTAATAAAAAGTTTTTCATTTAATAGTGTTTCATATGTGCTATCTTCATTTGTTTTCAGATAAAACAAGAATTGGCAGAGGCCTGAGCCAATATATCTGTCAGAATACTCTTTAGGTTATCTAGTTTCTGGCTTTTGACTTTTATTTTTTATTTTTAAAATCTTACTGTATGCCCTTAGTCATGCGCTCCCAGTTTGAGTTCAGTCTCCTAGCTAATTTAAGTTTACCTTTCTAGAACTGCAGTACATCAATAAGAATAGGGTACTCCACTGGTCCCCTCAGATTTTTTTAACAATCTGAGAAACTAATTTGCAATTGTGTTTAATACAGAAGTCCAGGATCTGCTCTCTATGCTGTGCAATAAGACTGTAGTCTATTAGCTTGGAAGCCAATGTATTATGATACAGGTATCTTCTTTATCTTAACTAAATAGCACTGTTCAATGTTTGTGAAATCATATTTTACCTCAGATTTTTGAAAAGATGGAAACATTCTAGAAAGTAACTGCATTACTTTACATATTGGATAGCTTTTAAGCAGTGCAGATGTTGTAGTTTGTTTTCCAGCCAATGGTATTGCTGGTACCATTAACTGGCCTCAAAACACTATGTATTCTGCCAGTAGCAATTTAACTGTTTATGAAACCAGAATTTCCATCCAAATAAAAAAAATTACAGAACCAAGGAGCTGCTTTTAATCACAACAGTTAACTTCAAAAGAACTAATTTTATGATGGAGAAGGTTATTAGTACATGATGTCTTCTGCTGTAACATTTGCCTCTTCTGTTTTAGTCTTAAATTCAGGGAAGCGAATTGCACTTAGGGCTATTAGCAACAAATTTACTCCATGAGCTGTAGCACTTGCCACACAAAGCCAAAAAGAGCCTTCATACTGTTCTTCCAAGACTACAAACTGAAAAATTTCCTGGAAATTGGCAATTCTTTCTGTGAGATGATGAAGTTTAACAGCAGCTATAAAGCTAGCGACTGCCAATGCTGTAAAGCCACCTGCAACAGAATGAAAAAGGCATTCATCATCATTTTCAAAACAAGTCGCATGTGTTGGATCCAATTTAGGAGAACATGGCTTAAGTACACACTTCAAGTTAAATGTATGATTGGGTATCCAGAATGGGGATGTGCTTAACATGTGCTTAAGGGTCTTCCTGAATTGTAGCCTTTATTAGATATGTGATTAAGCATCGCACCTTTCTTATGTTGCTATAAAAGTGCTCTTGCAACTGATATTGAGGCTGTATATGAATTCTCTGTTCATGAAGAACAACCTATACTAGCATCTGAAATGCCTTGTATTAATTTTACTACAGCAGGTACAAATTCAATGCAAACATTTATCTTTTATTAGAAATGTACATATGGGACGAGCAAGAGGTTTTAACATGTGGACACAATTTAGTGTTACCATTTATTCAGTAGTAAAAATTATTTTACCTGCAAGTAAATTCCATAGGCATATACCTGCTGGACCTTTAATAGCTTGATATGGAACCTGGATTATGTTGAGAATGCAGAATCCAAAACTGATCAGAGCAAAAGAAATGGCGACACATAGGAAGATTATAATCATCACATGAAGGCCTGTATTCAGCTTTTTGACCAGATGTGGGAAGACTGTCAAGAAAAAATATTCAGTTATTCAGCATATACCTTTTTCTGATTATTAAAAGTTAACCTTATATTGATTATATAAACTGATTTATGCTCACTGTAATAGGACTTTATTTACAAGTAAACTTGTAGAAACAGCTGTGTTAGTTTGTGATGGTTGAATAATCAGATGGCAAAAGTAAAGGAACGAGGATGTTCTTACCTGAGAATAGTATTCTCTTATAGTACTTGTGTTGGTCTGGGATGCAGGCTCATGTATTCTTGCCCTAGTTTTATTAAGGTCAGTATTATATGAGACTATACTGGAAAATATATTACTGTATATTATGTCTATTAAACAGTAAACCCAAACAAGAGCACCAAATCTGAATTTCACTCACTTTGATCTTCCCAGCTTGTCCTATCATTATTGTAAGCGTCAGCCAGAATTCTAACTCTAAATATTCCTGAATTTTAGGGAGAGTTCAGATTGAGATCAAAATGTCATGCCATGAGCTTTAATTAACATATATGTATATTATACTTATAGCAATAATAGTGGTATTGTCTGAAGCTACAAACTAAATTATCTGCCTGCTGCTCAACAAACTTATATGAGCAACAAGTGAAGTGTAGATGAAAAACTTGATTCCTTTCTTTGTGTCAAGTAGACCCACAGTTCAGCAAGGTATTTAAAGGCCCCTTACTGGAACCATTTATACTTAGCATTACGCATGTACTTAAGGATGCCTATATACATGCAGGGACACTGCTCTGACATGCTTTAATTACACCGCATCAGTGGAGTGTGCTAATTGGCACACTCCAGAAGCCTCCATGTCTTGTGTATCAGTGTCCGTGTGCTTCAAAATGGCAGTGGGGGCACTTTAACTAAAGCTCATTCAATGACCTTTAGTTAAAGCCCCCACCACCATTTTGAAGTGTGGGGAGGCTGAATATACCAGATGCTGTAAGTGCTTTAATTAAAGCGGCTCCCAGAGCTGCTCTAACTAAAGCGCCCCCCACACCCGGAGCACGTGTAAAGATGCCCGAAGTATCTTGCTCAATCAGGTCCACAGTCACTGAACAGTAGGTTCAGTTGCCCTGAGGCCTCCTTGAGGCCCATCCAAGCCCAACCCTGGGCATCTTGTGGAAGCGTTGTAAAACCTTTTTATTTAGGCAGGCTTTTAGCAAATGGGGTTAAATTTGGGGGTATTTGGGGAGTTATTACTTACTATTTTATTATTTTACTTGTTTATCTTATGTTTATGATAAGCCATCCTGGGCCTTTTTGGGAAGGGTAGCATATTAATCTAATTAACCCCAGTATATGGCTATTAAAGACAATAATTAATGAGAATGAACAAGCAGTTTCTGCCTTGATGATCATATCAGCAGAAAAAATAAAACATGTTGCAGTATTAAGGTTACTCATTTAAGCATTAAAAAATGAGGAACTGCTACATTTTTTCTGTACCTCCTAACCAGCATACAGAAGTTATTTAAAGCACTGTAGATTTAATACCTCATTTAACAAGGGTTAATTTTACAGCACTGTACCCATTTTAAAGTGTTGTAAAGCCATTCACTTCTGTTAAGTTACAGCAATAAAGCGTTTTAAATGGCAAAAAAATGCAACTTGTGTACACACCTCTAGTTAGTGTCAATCTCCAGGCTCTGGCCTACCTTTAAAACATTATTACTATAAGGCCAGTGTGCCTGAACATCCCTTTCCTCCCAACCCAATGTTTCTTTTAAGGTAATTGTGGTCTGAATTTGTCTTAGTCTCTATTCTCAGGTTTCCTCTGCACCAGGTAAAGGTATAGCCATTGTCTGCTCAAAGTCCCCATCTATAGAATGTTTTTCCTGGACCCTGATTGTGCTCATTAGAGACCCTTAGGACTTCTTTCCAGGCATGTTCCCAAGACATTTCTATTTGGGAGCATTTTTGGGGGGGTCAGTGACCCAAAATTTTGGGGGGGGTCAATGACCATATTGGCCACCCGTTTCACTATCTATTTATTTTTAGAGTATTTTTTTGCTGAAGAAAAAGCTAGCTTTCTTGAGCATCTGCCTAAGAGTATTCAGTTAGGGTTAGTCTGAAATTTTTTGAAGTAACACATGCAGGACTTCTAGTAACTCCTTAACTTGGACAAGGTGCTCATGAATTTTGCCTCTGCTTCCCAGGGAATGGTAACTTCTTTCACCCACCTGCAAGTCCTCACAAATGCGTTGTTGTAGAGCCAAAGACCAAATTTTCTCAGAAGAGAACTATGGGGCATTTAGAAAATTCAATCTATACTGGGGCTTATCAAGGACAGAGGAGATGGAGAAGACAACAAACACCCTAAATCTAGCCCTGTATAACCTTCAGATTGCTCAGGGAAGTGATAAGACTATAAAGAAAATCTATTTATCTCCTCTTCAAGCACAGGGTCAGAGAGGATGTCCCCCTGGGGGAATGACCAGTGGGGTTCTGCACCCATTTCAGAAACAACAATAAGGGTCTATACTGCCTCCCTGTGGAGCCTGAAATCACCAGGCTTGGACAGGTCCTCAGCATGCACCCCAGTCTTGCTCTTGGGCTCCTTTTCTTGGGAAAGGGTATTCTCTCCTAGGGCCTCCTCAAGCATTTTGCCTCTGGCAGGCTATGGGCGAACAAAATGGTTCTGGAACATCTGTATGACTGCCACATTTCCACTCCACAATGGAGCTGTCCCTCTAGGAAAGGTATCACCACTGAGTCCATAACATCTAATCTTACAGATCTTTTAATTAATTTTTTGAAAGGTATATCTCTACTATATCCACTGACTAAGTGACTGCATTTTTTTTTTTTAAAGGCCCAGTCTTCCCCTGCTGGCAGGGAAAACTCCCACTGTATCCTGCATTCATGCAGGGGGTGGAACCTGATAACCTTAAGGTCCTTTTCAATCCTATGACTCTATGGTCACGGGAGTTTGGCTTACATAAGAACTGCAGCTTTTGGTCCTCTGACTACTGTATCACAGGAGTCACAGCTGAACTAGTCTATTTTAGTAATTCA